CGAGGAGGAGGAGGACGAAGAGGAGGAGGAGGAGGGGGAGGAGGAGGAGGAGGAGGGAAAGAGGAAGAGGAGGAGGGAAAGGAGAAGGAGGAGGAGGAGGAGGAGGAGGAGGAGGAGGAGGAGGAGGAGGAGGAGGAGGAAGGAGGAGGAGGAGGAGGAGGAGGAGGAGGAGGAGGAGGAGGAGGTGGAGGGAAGGAGGAGGAGGAGGAGGAGGAGAGAGGAAGGAAGAGGAGAAGGAGGAGGAGGAGGAGGAGGAGCAGCAGGAGGAGGAGGAGGAGAAGGAGGAGGAGGAGGAGGAGAACGAGGAGGAGGAGAACGAGGAGGAGGAGAACGAGGAGGAGGAGGAGGAGGCGGAGGGATAAGGAGGAGGAAGAGGAGGAGGACGGATAAGGGAGGGAGGAGGGAGGGGGGAGGAGGGAGGGAGGAGGGAGGGAAGAGAAGGATGAGGACGGAGGGAGATTCAGACGCTACGACCATCACCAGATCAGAGTCGGTGCGACGTCTAGAGGGGGACAGGGAGGGAGAAGGACGAGAAGGAAGCGGAGGATGAACAGGACGAGCGGGAGGAACACGGGCAGGCCCTCCTACGATCCGCTTCGATTCGCGGGCCGAGCCGGCGATTCCGATTCGATTCGATTCGGCTCGTGTCTTTTGCGCCCACATCGGCCAGCACCAGCAGGGTCGGCTCGAATCTGTTGCGGTGCTTCGGCGTAGCCTCTTGCAGGCCTTTGGGGCGGCCTTCCGAGAGCCTCTTCAAGATTCCTGCGGGCTCCGGGATTCCTCTGAGGGCTTCCTTCGGGGCCTCTCGGGGCATTTTGAGGGCATGTTGGGCGTCTTTGGGACCATCTTTCGGGGGAGGGCTCCAGGGTCCCAACCAAGTTCCCCCTCTTGAGACTCTCAGGCCATGTTTTTGCATTCTCGGGGCCTCTTAGGCAATCTTGGGCTCTCTTGGGCCACTCTAGGAGGCTTTTCGGGCCTCTGCGGGATTTCAAAACCCCGACATGCGAGATTGCGGCAATAACTTGAACACGTTTGGGTAATTGGTGTTTCTTGCCTCTTGATGCCGTCTTGTGGTACCTGTCGAGCCCTGTTCGGACGTCTTCCAGGACTTTTGGTCAGTCCTGAGGCCACCTTGGATGTTCCGGGGGGCCATTGTTGAGGCCAGCTGAGAGCTGTGAGTGCCTGGGGGGGGGTCCCGTCCGCGCGCAATCCGAAGCCGTACCGTCTCGCACGCCTTACCTGGCCCCAGCAAGCGGGGGCTGGCGGACACCCTCACGAAACGGGTGCCCCGTCGCTCCTTGCGGGAGCCTACGAGGGCCGTGGCCGCCAGTGCCCACACTAGAGGAGGAGGGTTTAGGGTTTTAGGGTTTTAGGGTTGCCCACACTACCCGGCATATCGAACTGACTCGCTTGATTGCTCACAGCGTCAACCCGTCAGCGCCTTGCATCATATTCGGGGACTTCAATTTTGTTTGCTCTTGTACGGACCGGTTTGTGAAACGCACTGGCACTTGGTCTACTGCAGACCGCAATGCGGCGGCGGAGTGGCAAAGATGCATGGGACCACGTTGTGTAGTAGAATGGGAGCAGGACCAGTTCACGTTCGAGAGCGCCTCCGTCTTCTCCCGGCTGGACCGCGTGTGCTCCAACATTCATCCAGGCAGTCTGCTATGCGTCGATTCGTTTTGTTTTCTGAAGGATTGCCCGTCGAAGCTATCAGACCACAAGCCTGTGGCGTTTGGCATCCGGCCGAAAGGGCGGACACAACCGACCCCATTTCCATCGTGGATCTTGAATGACGATGGCTTCTCAAAGCGTTTGAAAGAGTCCGCGAACACATGTTTGGAGGCCGCTGGCGTCCTATTTTTCCGAAAACTGCAGCAGGTGAAAACGGCAGCCAAACGCGTTGCTAGGGAGGTGAAGCAATCCCGGGCAGGACAGGAGGCGCAAACATCCAGTGAGAAGTTGGCTGCCACTGTACGTTTTCTGCGGGCTGTGATTCATGGCGACGAGAAGGGCATCGCTCAAATGCAGTGCATCTACCCTCGTTTGCAGGAGGTGCCGCCTACACCTAGAGCAGCCGAGCACCCGGGCTTCGCGGCGCTCCAGGATCACGCCATAGAGTTGTCTCACGCTGCAGCGGCTGACAGACTGGAGGAGCTCCGGGCTAGACAGGACAGTCTCCCGGATGAGGTATACAGGCAGCGAAGGGCAAACATCTTGGCACACCTGTCCAAACTGGTTCCTGGAGCTTCCGGGTCAATACAAGCGGTGAAGGACCCCGAGAGCGGCGATGTGGTATCCGACCCATCTTTCATAGCACGCGTTTTATCTGACCACTGGCAGGGTACCTTCAAGATCCAGGCTACGGATCAAACGCTACGGAGGAAATGGCTGGAACGATGTCGCGGCATTTTGACCACAAGCCTCGCGGACCTTACGCCCTCCATCGAAGACGTGGATGCTATATTAAATGATATTCCATCTTCTGCTCCTGGCCCGGATGGCGTGCCATTCGTTGTCTTCACACTGTTCAAACATATCATATCCCCTTTATTGTATGACATTGTGTTGGGAATGCTGCAGGGGGTGATCGAGCCGCCGGACGACTTCAACCTAGCTTTCTTGATATGCTTGCCGAAGGGGTCTGGCACCGCTCTGCCCAGCGGCACGGAGTGCTACGAGCCGGGGAACACGCGACCGCTGTCAGTGGTGGACGCGAGCAACCGCATTCTTGCATCTATCTTCCGGAGGGCGCTGGAGAAGGCAGTGGCCCATCGAATTTCTTTGTCTCAGAGGGGGTCATTCCAGGCAGGCAGATGCTGAGGAACGTTCTGGAGATCGATTTCGCTGCGCAGAAGATTTCCCTGACGTCCCGCCGGGGATGCATTCTGCTGTTCGACTTCCGCGCGGCGTTCCCAAGCATGGACCACTCTTTCATGTGGGAGTCGCTGGGGGCTGTTGGACTTCCGCAAGAGTTTATACGTGCGTTGAAAATGTTCTATGTGCGGAACAAGCACAATATCAAAGTGGGCGGCCAGTTCTTCGACAGCATCACCGTGGAGAGCGGAGTCCGGCAGGGCTGCCCATTATCTCCGCTGCTGTTCGCGATCTGCGCCGATATCTTGCTTCGCGAGCTTTCGCGGCACCTGTCTGGGCACGAAGTAGTTAGAGCGTTCGCAGATGACACAGCTGCAGTAATCGCAGACTATTCGGTGGCGGTTCCAGTTATCAACAAGCTATTCTCAGAATTTGAAAAGAGATCCCGGTTGGCTCTCAGTATCAAGAAGACAGTGTTTATCCCATTGCGGCGCTTTCAGTCGGAGTCCAACGTGAGGTCTCTCATTCGCGAGTTGGCGCCTCAATGGAGGGACATTCTGATTTCCCTTCGCGGGAAATACCTCGGTTACTGGGCGGGGCCCGGCGCCGGCAACATGACATGGGAGAAGCCAATCGAGAAATTCACGAAGCGGGTGCTGATCTGGGCGCAGAGGCACCTCGGATTTTTTTTGAACATCATTGTTTTCAACACTCTTATTATATCGGTATTGAGCTTCGTGATGCAGCTTGAGGACTTGCCCGAGGACATGGATGACATTTTCTCCTGGGCGCTACGTCGTCTGGCTCCGGGCCCTGGAAATTGGATCATGCCTGAAGATTTCTGCAATTTAAGAGAGGCGTTCGGGTTCAAGCTTTCCTTCGCTCAACCCCGCTGCGTTGCGCGGGCCGCTAAGCTGCGAGTGATTGAAACTGTCGCCCCGGATTGCAAAGAACGCGTCGAAGAACTGCGCATGCTGGATGAAGGAGTGCTGCAAGGCCCGTTCGGGAGCTGGCACGCCAACTCTTTCTTCGCTGTCCTGCACCGCACAGAGCAGCAATTGGAGAACGACGGGATCTGCCGCAGCCGGATCCGGAGGGTGCTGAAAGGCCCTGCCGGGCACGGCTCAGCCAGCTTCCAGTCTGTTGCAGTCGATCTGATCAGTCGACATTGCCGACCTGACCATCTACATCGCACTGCTCACAAGCTCGCCCGGTGGAATTTAGCAGGTGACGCGGCGGCATTGGTGGCGCGTGTCTAGGAGGTTTTCGACATTCTGCATAGGTGGTGCCCGCCCAGGGTGGCGTCAGCATACCTCCGCACGTTGTTCAACGGCTGGGTCACCCGGCGTCGCATGAAGCACGCCGAGAAAAACGGCGTCGACAAGCCGTGCCAGTGCTTTCTCGGCTGCGAGAGCGGCGACGACAGCATCGAGCACTACAGTGTATGTCCGGCTGTGTGGGGCCATCTGCAGCGCGACAGACCTGTTGGGCTGGGCGTGAAAATGCCGCCGGCCATGCTTTCATTCTTCCTCCTGGACCCGGGAACTTCCGAAGAAGATGTGCTGCGATTGGCTCTACTCAATTACGGCGTGTACCGCGCCACCAATTACCTCCGGTTTGAGACGACGGACACGGGAGCGTCGACGCGGACATTGCTTTCACGTTGGGTCAAGAGGGGCGCGGAGAAGTCGCGGGCCAGACGGCTCCTGAATGACGATCGCTGACTCTATGTGGTCAGCCCTCGATCGTCGTGAGGAAGAAAAAGGAGGAGGAGGAGGAGGAGGAGGAGGAGGAGGAGGAAGAGGAGGAGGAGGAGGAGTGAGAGGAGGCGGAGGAGGAGGCGGAGGAGGAGGAGGAGGAGGAGGAGGAGGAGGAGGAGGAGGAGGAGGAGGAGGGGGAGGGAGAAGGGGTGCCGCGCGCCCTGCTGTGTCTGCCTGCCGCCACGGCGCGCGGGGCGGGAGCGTGCTTGACGCCCCTCCTGCGCGATGCGTTTTTGCAAGAGCGACGGCGGCAGACGGTCGAGACCCCCCGGGACGCCGTGAGCCGTGCACGGCGCGGGCGTCGAGCAACGGGGGGGTGATGGACCCAGACCCCCTCGAGTCATGAGTCGAGTCCTCGTCGTCGTCGTCTTCTTCGTCGTCGTCGTCGTCAGCTTGCCGACGAAGCCCCCCCCCCGAAATGTGGCGGCGAAAATAGCGAAACGTCGCGACGTAAGGTTTTTTCTTATTTTCAGCCTCTGGGAGCCCTCGCCAGGCCTCGGGAACGTCAACAGGCCACCCAGGATATGAAAAACGGGTCCCTGGCAATGGGTCGAGACCTCTGGGAGTCGACGTCATGAAAAATCATGACGTCGGGGGTTGGGGAGGCCCTAAAGGGCCCCAAAGGGGGCCTTGAGGATCCGAAAAGTGCACCTTTCTTCCCCCCACTCCATTACTCGCCCCCCACATGAAGCGACGCCCAAGCGGCGCGGGCCCCTGGAAGGGAAGTCGCGGCTCATTTCGACAAAACGCCAAACGTCACCACCCCACCTGCGGTCCTCCAGGTTGCGCTACGGCCCATCGGGGTCCGTAGCGTACACCACGCAAAAGCCTGAGCCAGATTTCATGGTGTATGCTAAGGTGCGTGGGGCCGTAGGTGGGGTGGTGTCGTTTGTTTTCTGGTCCACCGTTCCCCTGTCGGGAGCCCTGAGACGGGTGTCAATGCAAACGGGGTTCAGCAAGAGCGCCGGATCTTGCAGGATCTTGCAAAAAGCCAGGGTTGCACTGACCTGGGCTAGCGCGCAGGATCCTGCAGGGCCCTACAAAGACTGACTGACCCAGGTTTGCGCTGACCCGGGCGAGTAGAAGCCCGACCCGGGACCAGCTTCTCCTCCCGAGTCGTGCTGTTGACGGTCCCGGGGCCCAGCGAGGGCCCTGAGAGGCCGAGAATAATCGCTGGGACGCATTATCGCCCCTTCCTGTTTTCGGCGGAAATCGATCAATGTCCAGTCCTTGGAAGTGAGATTCCGATGATCACAACAACCCCCAATCGGACTACAATCGCATTCTTGTGGGATTCCTGAAGGATCCTTGAGGGCCTGTGAGGGCTCCTGAGGATTCCCCCAAATTCCTGATGATCTCAATCTCATTCCTGAAGCACTCCTGAGGATTCCTGCAGGCCCTGAACATTCCTGCAGGGTGCCTGCAGGATTCCTTTGGAATTTAAAGGATTCCTGAGGACTTCTGTAGGTTCCCTTCCCGGGAATCAGTAAATTAATTTGGTACTCATAGGATGTCACTATGTGGCTTCCCCCCCAGGTAATCAATATATCAAGCTTGGTGCTACGGAAATCGGGGGAATCGATCATGCGTTCCATCGGTTAGCCAACAACCTTGCGTCCTGATGTTTTCACGGCGCGAGGGGCTCTGGACATGGAGTGGCAGCATTCGGGCAGGAGATCGACTACAGCATTGATGTATCCCAGACTTGTGGTCTTTGTTTCGCCGACTCTACCAGAAGTGCATTGAGTGCCAGTCGATCAGCGAAATTTCGACGTATTGTCACAGATTCGACGAAGATTTTAATTCTGGGGTACGCTCGGACTGAGGTATCAGATCGATGTCGGTTCTGGGAGGGTACCCTCGTGTTCTTCGCGTTTGTTGGGTGTTCTTGTGCTTCCTGGGGGAGGGTACCCTCGACTGTTCTTCAGCTTGGCCGGCAGAGGGTCTCATGTTCTTGAAGGTTGTTATTCTGTCCTAAGTCTGGCCGTGAACGGAATATCTCGGAGGTCCCCGCGGGCTTCTTGGATCGAAGCTGGGGCACCCCTCCGGCGCCGCCCCTGGCGCGCTCCGCGCGCCAGGCAGAGGGTTCCAGCGCCGATCCCAGACATCCGCCCCGCCCTTCGAGAAGTCACCTTCGTGCTGCTGATTGTTTCCCTACCAAAGTCGAAGCATACAGCACTTCTGCTTGCCAGCTTCTCCCGACGGGCTTTGCTGGGCTATCCTGGGGCCGTTTCGGAAGCATCGCGGCCGCACATCAATTCTATAGTAGATGCAGACCTGACGCATACCGGACCTGAGGGCTCATAAGTTGTGCTTGCGTGGGGTGCATTGCAAGGACAAAACTATAGTTGATCGCAGACCTCCTGCTCGAAGCCCGCGGCTGCCCGATGCGCCAGCAGGCCCAGCGGGGCCCGGGGCCCTGCCCACAGAGGTCTGCGGGCGCCTCTCCGAGAGAGCCTGCGCCTTGGCTTGCACGCACGGTGCACCGCCGCCCGTGCCGCTGCTGCGCCTGCGGCGCCGTTGCTGCGACCAGTGGCACCGCGGCGGGCGAACCGAGAGGAGCAAAGATGAGAGGAGGAAGAGGTACAGTCCCAGAGATCCGACGCTCCAAACAATCGGAGCGGGCGGTTTTGGGCTGATCTCGTCCTCCAGGGGACCTCGCTGGGCCTCGGAACCGTCCACTCAACGGTTCAGGATGAAAAGCTGGCCCTGGGGAAGTGGTCCAGGCTTGCGGGGCCCACGCATCGAACAAAATTGGAGCAGCCAGATGTTTAGGGTCGAAACTGATGTTAAGGATTGGTAACCTTCCCAAGGGTACCCATGCATCCTTACCTCTTCGGTCATCTTCTGTCCATCCTCAACCGCTATTGAAGGCCAGCCCCGCTCGCAAAGCTTCGACATGGGCGTCCAATGCCCTTGCATCCTTATCGCGCATCCTTACTATCAGTTTTGATTGTAGCGATACCGCTACCCGCCGGTCGTTAGTATTTCCAGGTCCCGCTGTCTTTCAATCGCTTTCCTATTCCAGCAGACGACATATTTCTTGTCCCAACCAACCTGTGTTGAGTTGGGTCCTCGTTTTGAAGTGACAGTCCCCGCGCCCTTCTCCTCCTCCTCCTCCTCCTCCTCCTCCTCCTCCTCCTCCTCCTCCGCCCCTCCTCCGCCCCATCCTCCCTCCTCCCGTCACCCCCTTCACTTTGACACACCCCTCAAACGTTTCGTGGCCCCATTAGGAGCTACACCGAAGGCGCCAGTGGCTGCGTTCGCATGCCGCCACCCCCTCACTTTGGCACACCCCTCACACGTCTCGCGGCCCCATAGGGAGCTCCACCGAAGGCTCCAGTGGCTGCGTTCGCATGCCGCCAACCCCCCTCACTTTGGCACACCCCTCACACGTCTCGCGGCCCCATAGGGAGCTCCACCGAAGGCTCCAGTGGCTGCGTTCGCATGCCGCCAACCCCCCTCACTTTGGCACACCCCTCACACGTCTCGTGGCCCCATAGGGAGCTCCACCGAAGGCGCCAGTGGCTGCGTTCGCATGCCGCCACCCCCCTCACTTTGGCACACCCCTTACACGTCTCGCGGCCCCATAGGGAGCTCCACTGAAGGGGCCTGTGGCTGCGTTCGCAGGCCCCCCCCCCTCATTTTGGCACACCCCTCAGGTCCCCGTCTTTACAGTCGCGATATTTCATGTGGTTGGTTTGGCTTGATACATCTGCTGAGACACCCCCTATCGCTAGTGTTTCGGGCCTCTTAGCTTAGGGCCCCTCCCAAAGTCTTAGGGCCCCCTCCATTGCTGATCGTATATGGGGGAAATCCTGGAGGCCCCGCGCGCCACGCAACAGTTGTACCATCTACTCTGCACGTCCGCTCCGTAAAATCTGGGTCGACGTTCGCGCGGCGATGCTCCGACGCACGTCCGACGTGATTCCGACGTGGACCCGACGTAAAGCCGACGCAATCCGACGCAAACCCGACGTAGACCCGACGTGGATCCGACGTGGATCGGGTCTCGAGATACCGCGCGAGGCCTCCAGGATTTCCTCATCATATCATTATTCGTACGAGCGTTGGCCTTGGTTCTCGAGCCAGTAACCGGGGCATCGAGCGGCCGTTCGGGACGATCCGGGCGCCCCCGGAACGCTCTCGGCACGGCGCAGCTTTTGGAACGCACCCCAAGGCTGGAAGCCCGTCGGGAACAAACCTCGAACGCTGATCTTCACCCCCCTCAGACTTTCCCTTGTTTGAGGAGCTGGGAAACCAAAAGGTTCTGATGCCGATATCCTCTCTCGGGGCGCGTTCTGACCGAGACTTCGAGGCGAACCCAGCGGTGGCGACGAGGTCTTCCCAGGAGGCCCCCAAAGGCGAAAACAAGGCAAAGGGAGTGGTATGGGTACCTCTTCCTCCTCTCAGGAGTACGTGTGGAGAATCTCGCATGCAACTCCTGGGAGGTCAAATTCTGACTTTGCCCTGGTCCGAAATCCGGCTTAGCATTTGGCTTAAGCCCGCCTGGTCCGACCTAGTCCCGCTTCATCAAGCTCTATCCCGCTGAATCCGCGGCCTAATTCAGCGTAGTAGCTTCCAAATGGCGCTTAATCCTTCTGAACCATCCCGGCGAAGACCGCCCAGTAGTTGCCTCCTTGGGCCATCGTAGGGCGGTCTTGGGGGCCTCGAGGGCCGTCTGGGAGCGTCGGGAAGCCGAAAAGGCTATATAGAGAGCCCCCCCAACCTGTGAAAACCTTAGGGCAATCGATGATTTTGGCCTCTTGGGGCACTCTTGGGAGGCCTCTTGGGGCGTCCTGGAGGTTCACCCCGGAAGGCCCCCTGCCGACGGCGCCAGCAGTGGTGCGCATACGGCCCGTGGCCGGGGGCAGGGTGGCAGGGAGTCCCGCGCGGCCGTGGCCCGGGCCGCCGAGAGGGCGCAGGTTCGAGCGGCACCGCACCCCCCCCGCTGCTAATCGCCCCGCGTACTACTCGCCCGTTGTTGAGACTCGGTACGTTTGATTGATGCCCAAATCCCAGTCTACTTCGAGCGCCTCCCTGCTTCAAGACCCGATGTGCTTTTGCTTTGTTTTGTGATCTTCTGGATGGGCCTGAGCCCAATCTGCCTCGTCCGCCTTCCCACTTCATGCTTTTTTTAGCAACTTCTTCCGACCGACGTTTACTCCTCCTCCCCTGAGGCTGATTTTGCACGCCCACGTCTTAGACTTCGGCGATCTGTAAAGCCTCGTGGTAGTAGCTCGCAGCGGTGAAAGCTTTCATCCGAGAGAGTCCAGGGAAATCCAGGGAGGAGCGGTATCGGTGTCCTCCCCACTCCTCCCCACCTCCGTCCTTCCATGCCTCCCTCCACTCCTCTCTTCCCGCTCCTTCCAACAATCTCCTCTCCCTTCCTCTGGGACTCGAAGGGAAAGCTGCCTGCCAACTTGGTCACTGGAGGGGCAGAGGGTGTGTGTGTGTGTGGGTCCATTGGGCTGTGCGCCCTATTGGGTTGGTTCCCACGTGCAGTCTCAACCCGCATAAAGGATGAGCGACTTTCCAAAGTTACCCTTGCATCCTTCCCCTTCGGCCCATCCTTGGCTGCTCTCGCTGGCCGCGCCCCGACCGAATAGGCCCTTGCATCCTTATCGCGCATCCTTGTTATACGGGTCGACTGTATACGCGGCGCTCCTCCCTTCTGCGAGCGCCTCCGGCCATACGGGCCTTCGCAGCCAGGAAGGCCCCGCGGGTTGCTGCCCCTTGGGAGGAAAGCTCCGGGCAGCCTCCCTCCTCCGCCTCGACCTCCTCTCGGCGCCCTCCCTCGCGTCTCATCCTCCTTCGCCTCCTTGCCTTTCTCCGAGCAGGTCAAACTCTGCGGCCGATCAGCTCCACATTTCATTCCCTATCCCTCGGTCCTCTTCCTTCGCCTCCTTGCCGTTTGCCAACCAGGCCAAACTCTGCGGCCGATTAGCTCCATATTTCACAGCCTATCCCACGGCCTCCGGCATCTTTCCGTGGCCCCGGTGCTGCACGGGTCGTGCTCTGGGCAACCTCTGCCTGCTCGCAGCTAAGATCGAGCTGGTGTCGTGGCCCAGGGCGTGGCCAGACCCGTAGGCGCCATCTGGGAGTAAGGGAGAGGGGTGCGGGAGTTGGATGAGAGGAGGGGGAGGGGCAGGACGGGAGGGGGGAGGGTGGGCGGGAGGTCTGGAGCGGAGGAGGAGCGGGAGACGGAGGTAGATGAGGGAGAGCAGAGGTAGCAGACGAGGGCAGGGGGGGAGCGCAGGGATGAGATGACCGTGCAGGATGAAGAGGGGCTGGGGCAGGGGGAGGCACGGGCGTGCCGGCGGGGTAGGCGGAGGGATCAGAGGAGAAGGGACCGCACATAGGGGGAGGTGGGGCACGGCAGGAGGAAGAGGAGGAGGAGGACCAATGTAACCCCAGGGCTCATTAACGATGTTACATTTTGAGATATGTACAGCCCCCCTCCAAGATCCTTCTCCAGAGGCCCAACACAAGGGGTCATGTCCACTGAGAGAATTGCCCCGTGCGGGGACAACCGTGTGAACATCTTGATGCGTGCCCAAACACCACTCTCAGGACTTCCAAGCCACGAGTTAATCTGACTGTTGCCTCTGAGTGATCCTTAACCGTGCCAACACACCATTCTGGAGACTTCAGCACCGCGACGCAACGTAACCTTTGCGCCTTGACAGTCCTGAGTCGTTCCAAAACATATTTTCCGGTACGTTAACCGTGAGAACCAGTGAAACGAAAGGATGGGCGCGGTGATAAGGCGAGATCCACATTCTGAAACGGAGCCGCTTTCAGTCCGTGGAACCCTTGCAAATGTCTAAAGCGAATTTGCGCGGCGCCGAGGCGAGAGCCGCATTTTGAAAACGGCCCGCCCTCAATCCGTGAAGCTTAGCAAGTTAGAAATAAACGAATGTGCGCGGCGCTAGCGCGAGAGCCACATATTGAACACGAACCGCCCTCAATCTGTGAAGCTCTTGCAAGAGTTGAGGCCGAATGTCCGCGGCGATAAGGCGAGCGCCACATGTTCAAAACGACCCGCCCTCAATCCGCGAAGCTTTTGCACAAGTTTAAGACTGATGTGCGCAGCGCTCAAGTGGGAGCCACATTTTGAAAACGACTCGCCCTCAACCCCAATCCGTGAAGCTCTTGCAAGAGTTTCAGACGAATGAGCGCGCTCTTACGGCGAGAGCCATATGTTGGAAACGATATGCCCACATGCCGTGAAACTCTTGCAACTGCTGGAAGGAAAATATGTACGTCGCTCAGGCGAGAGCCACACTTTGAAAACGACCCCCTCCATCTGGGAAGGTGCTGGTACTGCTTAAGCATCAAGTCGTAAGAGGTGGGGACGTCTCAGGCGACACGCCTGGCCCGCCCTTTCGACTGGCCTCGGGGCGCGACAGGGAGGAATCCCGTATTTATTAGGAAATGGAATGCAAGAGGAGGAGGAGGAGGAGGAGGAGGAGGAGGAGGAGGAGGAGGAGAAGGAAGAGGAGCAGGAGGAGGAGGAGGAAGAGAGGGAAGAGGAGGAGGAGGAAGAGGAGGAGGCGGGAGGAGGAGGAAGAGGACGACAAGGAAAACGAGAAGGGAGCTCCCCGAGGCGGGGGGGGGCCGTCGGACACTCACATGCTCTCAAATGCTTAGCTCCCCGATGGCCGCCCTCCGCGCCCTGGCGGCGCTTCTCGCCCTCGCCGCCGCCGCATCCGGGCTCCAGCAGGAGCGGGCTCGGCTTCGCGCCCGAGGGGCCCAGGGGCCCAGGAGACAGCGATCGGCTGTGATAGCGCTCGGCTGTGACAGCGGGGTGTGGCCCGATCGGGCCGCGGAGACGTCCCGTCACGTGCGCACACCGCTCGTAGGCCTCCAGGCCAGCGCGACAGGGATGGGGGCCGGTCGTCCTCACCAGAGAACCGAGGGGGGAGAGAGTGAGAGAGAGAGAGAGACAGAGAGACAGAGAGAGAGAGAGAGAGAGTGATAGAGAGAGAGGGCATGCGAAGGGGGCGGGAGAGGGGAGAGTGGGGGAGAGGGACGGGGGAGCGGGGAGATGGGGAGAGGGGGGAGGATCAGGACGAGGAGGGAGGGATGGAGAGGGGCGAGGAGGCCGAGCGAGAGGGAGAGAGGGGGGCGGAGGAGGAGGAGAGGGGGACGTAAGGGCCGAGCCAGCGGGACTGGCCCGAGCCGCCCTGGGCACGGAGGGGGGCGGCTTGTACTTCTCCTTTCGGTCCCCCTTCCTCACGGCTGGGGCCGAAACGCTTCGCTTCAAGAACACGTCCCAGAAGCTTCGGCCCTCGATCCTCGAAGCCAACTCGCCCTCGGCCCTTCTTCAGGGGGCCTCGTCCCTCCTTCTCCTCCTCCTCCTCCTCCTCATCCTTCTCCTCCTTCCCCTCCTCCTCCTTCTCCTCCTCCTCCTCCTTCTCCTGCTCCTCCTCCTCCTCCTCCTCCTCCTCCTTCGCCTCCTCCTCCGCCCCGTGATGTAGCGGAAGCTGGTCCTAGACCCAGGGGCTCGCCTCAGAGCTGGGTCTCCCTCCCGAGTCGTTCCGTCGACGGCGTCGAAGGCCCCTGGAGGTCCCCGGGGGGCCAGGAAGCGGGGGGACAATTCCAGGGCCCCGTCCCTCCAAGGCCCGCTCCCACCATCATTATCATCCTCCTCCTCACCATCAAGAGCAACTTCACCATCATCGTTATCCTCATCATCAGCAGCACCAGCACCAGCACCAGCATCCGCATCATCATCGTCGTCATCCTACTAGCCAGCACCATTAGAAAAGCCGCCATCACCACCATTATCATCATCATCATCATCAGCAGCATCATCATTACCATCACCACCATCATGATCATCATCATCATCATCACCATCATCATCATCATCATCATCATCATCATCATCATCATCATCGTCATCATTCGCATCAGCATCCTTACCAGCATCATCAGCATCAGCATCATCATCAACATCAGCATCATCATCATCAGCCTCATCACCAGCATGATCAGCATCATGATCCGCATCATCAGCACCATCATCATCAGCATCATCATCACCAGCATCAGCATCATCAACACCATCACGCCGTCATCATCACCATCAATCGTTATCATACACCAGCGTCAGCATTGGCATCAACATGTTCATCGTGAGCATCATCACCATACTCTTCAAGTGCGGGCATCGTCCTCAGCATCACCATCACCATCAGCAGCTCCAATGAGGATCGCGATCGTCAGCACCACCATTCTTCACACCGTTATCAGCATCGGCAGTATCGGTATCACAATCGTAAGAACAGGTATCAGCACCATCTTTATTATCCACCGCCCAACCTCTGTCTTCCCCGTCGTCATCATTGCCATCTCCACCCGACGCCATCGCCCACCATCCACTATCCCGGGAAACGTAAGACTTGAGTTCGCCGCAACTTGGGTTTGCCGACGCTTTTTGATGGGCCCGTCCTGAATTTTGACGGGTCCAATGCGCGTTAGATTTTGGCAGCGTGCGTTCGCGTCAACATCCAGATTGGGTCTCGTCATTTTCTTGAAGGCCCCGTCAGGCCAATCCGAGTCTCCCGAACTCGAGTTTTACAGCTCCCCGACCGCATCCACCGTCCATCATCAGCACCATCCTCCTCGTCCCAGGGCGCACTCGTGTCCACGACTCTAGTATCTGCCCCGATCGGCGTCCGATCTGATCCTCCCCCTCCTCCGCCTCCTCCCCCTCTTCCTCCTCATTCGCCTCCTCCGACCGGAGCCGCAACTGAAGGAAAGTGGTGAGGACGAAGGAGGAAGGGGAGTAGGAAGCATAGGTGGGGAGGAAAAGGGAAGGAAGAGGAGGAGGAGGTGGCAGGAGAGAGGAGGAGGAGGAGGAGGAGGAGGAGGAGGAGGAGGAGGAGGAAAAGAGGAGGAGGAGGAAAAGAGGAGGAGGAGGAGCAGGAGGAGGAGGAGGAGGAGGAGGAGGAGGCGGAGGGGGAGGAGGAGGAGGAGGAGGAGAATGAGGAGGAGGAGGAGGAACAAGAGGACGAGGAAGAATAGGAAGAGGAGGAGGAGGAGGAGGAGGAGGAGGAGGAGGAGGAGGAGGGAGGTCAGATGAAGGAGGAGGAGGAGGAGTTGGCAGAAAAGAGGAAGGAGGAGGAGAGGAGAGAGGAAGGATGAGGTAAGAGCTAGCAGAGGGAGGATGAGGAGGAGGAGGAGGAGCTGGAGGAGGAGGAGGAGGATAGGCGGAGGAGGAGGCGGAGGAGGACCTTCCCTAATCTCCTCCCCCTTTTGCCTGCCCCGGGGCAGCGGCCCTCGCCGCGGCTCGCGGCCTTCTGCGAGCGGAGTCCTGGGCCGCCCCTCTCCCACAGGAGGGCGCGTCTGGGGCAGCCGCCGCCTCGGCCCTGCAGGGCCGGCAGCTCCTGGCGGCCAGGGCGCCCCTCAGGAGAGGAGGGAAGAGGAGGAGGAAGAGGAGGAGGAGGAGGAGGAGAGAAGGAGGAGGAGGAGGAGGAGGATAAGGATAAGGATAAGATGAGGAAGAGGAGGAGGAGGAGGAGGAGGAGGAGAGGAGGAGGGAGGAGAGGAGGAGCAGGAGGAGGAACAGGAGGAGGAGGGGGGGGAGGAGGAGGAGAAAGAGAAGAGGAGGGGAGGAGAAGGAGGAGGAGCAGGAGGAGGAACAGGAGGAGGAACAGGAGGAGGAGGAGGAGGAGGAGGAGGAGGTTGAGGTGGATAAGGGATAAGGGTAATGATACGGTTAAGGACAAGGAGGAGGAGGAGGAGGAGGAGGAGGAGAGGAGGAGGAGGAGGAGGAGGAGGAGGAGGAAGAGGAGGAGGAGGAGGGGGAGGAGCAGGAGGAGGAGGAGGAGGAGGAGGAGGAGGAGGAGGAGGAGGAGGAGCAAGAGGAGGAGGAGGATGAGGAGGAGGAGGAGGAGGAGGAGGAGGAGGGGATCCGTAGCCATTGTGGCTCAAGGGGCATTCTCCTTAACTTCCCATCCTCGGCTCAGGAGCGAAAAGGTATGGCTTCCTTCGGCCGTTCGCGCCTCCGTGGCGCCATTGCCGCGGGTGCTCAGGACCCGAGGCTCGAGGTCCCAATGGGGAAGGGGAATGGCCGTGGGTCCCAGTGGGGCCCCCAACCAAAAGCGTTCGGTCATCCATGCGGCCGCTCCGGCTGCAAACAAAAACCAGGAGCACAACAAGTTCTGGTATCATTGTGGTGCTCTTTATGGCCGTCCTGCTCGTCCACCCCAGCCAGCAGCAGATGGAGGGGATTGACGCGAGAAACCACCTCCCTGGGCCAAGGGCCGCGGGAAAGGCAAGGGACGGAATGACCGAGCACCGTCTGCTTTGGGGGGCCACGTGGCCCCCGAGGGGGGGCGTCCAAAGGAGAGTGGGTCCAAGGGTGGTGGGCGTTGCGACCGCCCCAACCCTTCCCCACACGACTCCCTCCACCACCTCTTCCAGTTGGGGAGTGGAGGACACAGTTTTGACGAGGCAACTTCAGGGCTTCTCGTACAGGCTTGGGCCGCCCACAAGGCCCACCAGGAGCCCCAGGCCTCGGCATCGTCGATCCTCCAGAAGTTTGAGAAGCAGGTCAAGAAATTCGCAGGGGAGGTTGAGACGATTCAGGACCAGATCATTGAAGCAGAAAGCGCTATCACTGTATATTCGGAGTGGCGTTCGAAATTGGGTAAGGATCTGCAGGCAGCCCAGGTCCAGCTCACAGAGGCGCGTTCCAAGGTGCACTCTAAGCGTCAAGAATCGATGGGTCCAGCTATCTCTCCAGTTATGGCCACGGGGGACACTTATGCGGGGGCCCTCAGGCAAGCAGTGGGCAATTTGTATATGATCCGAGTCTCAGAGGGCAGAGTGAGCAGCAGTTATTCTCGATCCTCGGCGCGCTCTCACCCCAGCTTCCAGAGGGAGGAGGTCCAGGAGGAGGAGCAGCAGTGCCAGAGGCAGTCTCAACAGCACCTTCCCCAGCAGCAGCAGCTATCGCCGCAGATGGAGGGTCTGTGGAGGACTCGGACGAGGAACTGGAGCTTGATGAGGAGTGCGGCCAGGAGATCCAGGGGATCCTCGGGAACCAATGGAAGGGGAATTGAAAAGAGCCCCTGGCGCAAATCCGAAAAATCTGCCTGGCCTCTGGAGCGCGACAGGGGGCCCAGAAGCTCTATATCAAGAAAGAGCCTGGTCTTAGGAAGGGGCCATCTGCAGCAGCACCAGCAGCAGCATCAGGTCCCGCAGAGACAGGCCAGGCGTCCAGCCATCGTAGAGCTGATCCAGCAGGCGCCGGGGGGCTCGGCGGCGGTGCCAATGGGAAAGGTGCAGGAGGAGGGGGAGCAGCAGGCGCAGCAGTTGCAGTGGGTGAAGGGGCGCTGCGGCAGCGTGGGTAGCATTCGTTCTCTTCTCTGCGCCACCCTCAACCTGAACTCCTGGGCCACCAGTGCAGAGCTGGTTCCGCAGGTTCCAGGGGATATAGTGTACACTCAGGAGCACAATCTGTTAGAAGGTAGTTATGCTGCAGTGGCCTCTACACTCCTAGCTAAAGGCTGGAAGCATTACGGGGTCACTGCGACCGAGCCAGATACAGGCAATGCCTCAGGCGGAGTTTTTTATTCTGGCTCAGCGGCATCTTGATATCTGGAACTCGCCCACCACGTCGCCTGCCCTGGTCTCTGCTAGGTTAGTCAGACGCTTTCTCAGAACGTCTGCTTGGGGTACTAGCACTGTGCGCTATCTACATGCACGACGGCGTAGGATTGGGCCTGAAGAGCATCAGGATATTGAAGGCTCTTGGGGGCGACATCAAGAGACGCGGGTTTCCTTGTATCGTTGGCGGGGATTTCTATATGAACCCCGCGGTGCTGTCAGAGCACGTTCCTCTTCACGATTCGGACCTGGTCATCAGTGCCCCAGAGTCCCACGCTTACCGCGTTCAGGACGCCGGGACCGAGATCGACTGCTTCCTGGTTTATGCCCAGCCCGACAGAGTGGCGCCCACGATCGGGGTTGACCTCTATGCGGCCTCTCACCCACGCTCTGCAGTCACTCTCGCAGCGCAGCGAGCCATCAGGGATGTCTTGCCCTCGGTGCCAGGGCCATGCCAGGTGGCTCATTGCAATGCTGCAGTCGGGCCGCCCAGAGAGCCGCCCGATTGCCCAGACATAGCCGGCCCTATCGAGGCCTTCTTGGCCACCCGCGCGGGCGACGCAGGGGCGACGTAGACGGCAGCCGGGGAGCATCGGCTTCAGGGTTCGCAGATTCTGACTGACTCCTACGGGGCTTGGGCTGCCAGAGCCTGGGGCGAGATCCTGGAAGCCACTCAGTCAGCTCCCGGAGGGCTCCAGCCTGGCACCCCGGTGAAATTCGAGACGAAGCCCCTAGTCCAACTCTTCACCGCTAAGCACTACAGCAAGGTAGTGCCTCACAGAGCCTTGACACGGGCCATCAATAGGCGCGGCGAGCCTCGTAGTCGCATCGCCAAGAGCGGCGGGCGGCTGTCGGCGGAGGGCTTCAATATGGCACATCATCTTTCGATGCTACCTAGGCGCGGAGGGCCCTTTCGGCAGTTTTGAAAAGAGGTGCAGGACTTCTGGCACGCGCTCTTAAGGAACATGGGACTTTTCTCAAGACGTCTTCTCGTGAGGCCTCCCTTCTTACTACGCAGGCCTGACAGTCTGCGCCCGATCCATGATGGGGGGCTTCCCGGAGAGTCGACCTTCAGATGCGCGTCGAGACTCTGGAAGGCAAGTTTTCGCACATCTCAAGGGAGGCAAGCAATGGGAAGCAAGCGTCTACCCAGTGGGCCACGGCTTCTCGTCGCCCCTCACCGCCAAGAGGGAGCATGAGTTGAAGAAGTGGAATGGAGCTTGGGAAGGTAAGGAGGAACACGATGGGGAATATTGTTGGTTCGTCAATCAAGCCCCCGCCCCAGCGCCCCCCCCGCCGACCGCGGGCGCGATCCAGAGGCCTCCAAGGCTTTCAAAAAAAGGACGTGCACCCCGGATGGGTTTCATCCACGACTCTTCGCTCTCATCTCAGAATCTGGTCAGTATATGATGCGTCTGCTCTTGCATCTTTCAAATGGTCAGCGCGCCGCCCCGTCATGTTCGGGAACTTATCGCGCTTCTGGCAAGCGAGGTCCAGGGGCCAGGCAGGCGACCCATAGGTCATTTTGCGGCGTCTGCCAGGATGCGAGGGGAACAGGGGCGCCAGGGAATGGGGGGACGCATGGGGGGGGGGGGGGGGGGGCGCAGTCCAGCGTGAACAGGGGGCGGAGTGCGGAAGATACCGCGTGGCGAGCGGCAGTCAGAGCAGAAGGACGGGTAGCAGATCGGATGAACGCGCTGGCGATGCTCTGGGATACTTAGCAGTGCTATGAGAACCTAGATCACGACTTGCTTCATCGTGTTTCCCAGGCCTTGCAGTGCCCGTTGCATGCCACCCGCCTAGCTTTGCGCAAGTATCCCACCCCTCGAAGAATATTTCTGGATGGGGTTGTGGGTCCACGTATCTATCCTTCCAAGGGCACCGTCGCCGGTTCCGAGGCGGCTACGACAGCGGCTAAGATGTATGTCATGCCCATGTTTGAGGGCGTCTCGTCAACTACTGACGAGCAGGCTGCAGCATTCATCCACATCGATGGCATTACTTTTAGCTCTGAGGCCTTCACCAGAATAATGTGTTCATATTCTCTGGTGGTTTGGATCTAGGATTAGGTGGGCGCTGGCCGCTCTTCCCCTCCCAATTGGCAGTTGATCAGCTTGCGATCACAGCTAGTTCAGGGCCGTTGCTTAAGAGAGCTTAGGAAGTTCAAGGCAACGTAGCAGGCGCCGCTGTTCCTGCAGCGCCTCATCTAGGCATCGACGTCGGATCAGGAAAGCACAAGCGTCGCCCTGAAGGCAATTCGACAGGGAAAGCCAGATGGGTCACGACCTACTCGCGCTTCTGTCGACTTCGGAGCATCGAAAGTCAGAAACCTTCGGATCGGGCCCGTTTCTTTGCTCCTGGTGTTCGGTCAGCACTTATGTACGGTGACAAAGTCCATGGCTACGCACCCACGGAGATAGACAGGCTTCGTTCAATGGCTAGGATTGTTTCAGGGTGTCCATCGAAAGGGGATCGCGCGGACATTTGGTGGCAGGTGCACGAAGTTCCCGACCCGAACATCTTGGCATCCAGCACTTTTGAGGGGAGCAACGGCAGCGAGAGAAGAGCTCGGCATGCATGCAGATGGGCCAGATGCTAAGGAGCTTAGGTCTGTGTTCGGAGCAATGCAACATAAGTTCCAAGAGTCGGCCAGCACCTCTTGGCTAGGGCGCCCTGCAGGGCCCATATCCGACATGCTTCTCTGGCTTCAGGAAGCGGGTTGGTGCTTTGACAACCAGACCACTCTCCACCCCAGAGCCGGCCCCAGCATTGACATTCTGGAGACTCCACCAGTCA